TTTTTCAGCCCCAAAAAAGGACAAATATAAATCCAGAATATCCAACGCACTTTAAAAAAAAAATTTAAAAAAATCCTTCTTTACCCATGGAGGGCTCCGGGCAGACTGCAATTAAGCTCAGAGCACTCCGATTGGTCCAATCAGAGTGCTCTGGCAAGTACATGAAGAGACTAACAGGTAAGTCTCTACATTTAACTGTCACAGCACTCTGATTGTTTACTTAATCCACCAATCAGAGTGCTCTGTGTCATTTTACACAGCGTGGGAAAATTCCAAATAACTTTCCCATGCTGTGTAAAATGACACAGAGCACTCTGATTGGTGGATTTCAAGCCAACCAATCAGAGTGCTGTGACCGGTAAATATAGAGACTTACCTGTCAGTCTCTTCATTTACCTATCAGAGCACTCTGATTGGTTGTCTTAAACCCACCAATCAGAGTGCTCTGAGCCTAAATGCAGGGCGGGGCAAGGCTTTATAAGCCGCCTTGCCCCGCCCTGCAGAGCTCAGTCTGTGTGGAGCTCTCCATGGGTGAAGAAGGATTATAATTTTTTTGCGCTTGTTTTTTTTATTTATTTTTTAAGTGCGTCGATTATTCTGGATTTTTATTTGGCCTTTTTAGGGGCTGAAAAAAAGATTTTTTTTACAGGTGTTTAGACAAGGGTCCCCCCTAATTATTTTTAGGATGAGGGGAATAGGTAGGGGTAATTTTTTGGGAGGAGGGGGTGACTAGGGGTTTGGGGACCCCTAGTCACCTGGGGGGATTTTTATTTATGGCCCCCACCCACTGCTCAGGGGTGGGAGCCGGGGGGAGGACAGTAGGCCCCCCCTTATTGTTATTTAGGGCCCCCACCCGCCACGCAGGGGTAGGGGCCAGGGGGGTGGACATTAGGTCCCCCCCTTATTGTTATTTAGAGCCCCCACCCACCGTGCAGGGGTGGGGGCCAGGGGGATGACATTAGGTACCCCTCGTTATTGTTATTAAGGGCCCCATATAATGCAAATTAAAGTTAAAGCTGGGTTCATGTTAAGATCGAAACAGGAATAATAAAATGAAAAGTTAATGATTAGCCTGGATGTGTTCTCTGGCCAGGTAAAAACAGCTCTCTCAACCTATGCCCGTGATGGTCAGGCTGGGTGCAGGATTGTGCAGCAGGGTCTTTTAATCTCCCATGTCGGCGTGCTATGCCGCCTCATAGCAGCCCCGGGTGTTGTCAGGACTCACTTTTTCACCTCCGTGAGGCACCTTCGCTGTCCTCATGGGGGAGGTTTTCAGAGTCTCGGGCGATGGTGTCGCAGCCTGGAGTGTAGGGGTATGGGCCGGGAGGGAGGACATTAGGTCGCCCCCCTCCTTATTCTTATTTACGGCCCCCACCCACTGCTCAGGGGTGGGGGCTGGGGGAAGGACAGTAGGTCCCCCCACCACATTCTTATTTAGGGCCCCCACCCATCGCACAGGGGTGGGGGACAATAGGTTGTTTTTTTTTACAGTGAGCAGCCTCTGGCTGCTCACTGCCTACTAGACACGCCCCTACTCACGGTATAGCGAGTAGAGGCTGAATTTACTAATACTAAGTAATACTTACTTAGTATTAGTAAATGTGGCTGAAAGACCAATTTAGGTGACCAATTTAGGTATTTCAGCCTTTTGATAGATAGCTCCCTAATATCATGTGAATTAGGGAGTTATCTACTAAGCGGCTGCTTATTTTATGTTATTTTTAAGTTATTTCCCTATCCACATTTGTTTGCAGGGCTCTTGTCCTACTCTTACCCCCATTTTACTTCCTTTACCAGCCCTCTAGCCCTTTCCAAGAGTTTTTTAGAGCCATTTTTGTGGCCAAAAGTTCGGGTCCTCATTGACTTCAATGGGGTTCGGGGTCAAGTTCGAGCACGAACCCGGACTTTTTTTCAAAGTTCGGCTGAACCCGCCGGACCCGAACATCCAGGTGTCCACTCTACTCTGTTAGTGTGTATCACCAATACCCTCCATTATTTCACAAAAAGAATTAACATGGATGATAGCAAAAGTGTATATTTCTGGGAATGAAAAGTGAACGATTTTCAAATTTTAGATCACAATTGCCAAACTGGGAAAGTTTCAATTCCGTTTTCAATTAGGCTAATTTGGAATTTGAAATTCACTTTGATTTCACTTTGAACTTATAACAATTCAACGTTAGAAAATTACTTTGCTAATTAGTATTCATATTACATGCATTTGGGGTTCTTATTCATTCCTTACTCATCCACTAAACTCCAGGCATATATTTACAGTAATCTCACCTTGCATGGCTCTTTTATATAGAGCAATACTCTATAGAGGGTTTGCTGTAAGTACTATGTGCTAATTATACAAGCAGTTGATTAATAATGTATTGATGATATTGTAACCGCTGGTGGTTCCCTTATTTACCACTATAATGTCTTAAAGCATAGAACTTAGTAGGGCTAACCATACAGATATCTTAGCCATAATTTTATATAGTCAGTAAGAGATCCTCTATTTAACATATATAAATAATTGAGAATACAATATAAAATAAGGATTGTCTTGGAAGCAAACGTTTTGTCTTTTTGGATATTTATTATATAAAAACATAAAATCCATTATAGCAGAGTTTATAAGATTAAATTACATGCTTGCAAATATCATTAATAGGTTAACATACCCTTCTGAACATGTCATCATGTCAGCCTCTCTGTCATTTTAAGATGGAGCAGCGTCTGTCTCCAAGTCTCTCCTCTGTATCTTAACATTTAAAAGTACACCTATTTATACCTTAGGTGTCTCCATTTTAGGTTACTGTAGTTCAAATATGAAAAAGTAACACTTCTTTTACTTTATTCAATTTAGGTCCTCCCTTAACTTGGCAAACATACAAGGCCATAACTAAAGGGTGCATACGTCATGGAAATTTTCCTGACTTAGTTCAAGATGGCATCTTAAAGTCTGAATAGGTTATCTGTTGTTTATACTAAGTCGTAGTGTACAGTCGTGGGAGATTCCAGGATTTGGGGAAGTTCCATTAACTTGGGGTTACCACAGTATATTGTGTACTGCAAGTGTCGTAGAATAGCCTTGAAGCTTGTTTATGCATTATTGTTATTGTAATTCGTCTGGGACAAAATGGCGCAAACATATTATGTACTGAGGTTATTGCTTAAAGAAACAGTTATGAAAAACAATATGTTCCATTTCTAATACCTTGTCAGTTTGCAATATCTCTTAAAGACAAGGTACACAGTTTAAGAAATACAACATTTCATTCTAAAACTTGTAATATTTGCATTTGCCCGTAACAATATATTGTAAATGGAAGGTATGATACATTCACAGGGACCTGTATGTGTTGTTTTATATGTAAAATGATTCTAGACTTTCAACACACAGAACTTCTGAACCTGGCACGCTGTGAGCGTTAGGATTTGGGCCGTTAATGTTTGTAGTGCCATTCAAAAGCCAGTTTTTTGGGAGGTTACATAGAATGTCTAGAATACTTGTTAGGAAATCAGGTGCTGTGTTTTGAATATGGAAAAATAATCATTTATTTGTCCCTGAACAGTTAAATAACCCTGAAGGTTACAAAAGTAGGAAGCATCTTTGCTTTGAAGAATACAAAGTAGCAGATCTAAAGCATTGGGATCCTCTGTTTCTCATGCTCAGCAAAGCATGGAAACCACAAAGGGATAAAGAGGTTAGATCAGCCTTGAAAGAATAAACAGAGGAGGCTTTTAATTGATAACTTCTGCACTGCTTAGACAGCCTTTTCTTGCTTAATTGCCTATTTACCCAGCTTTATTCTGAGACAAGAACAATGTTTGATGGAAAAAAATGACATCTACAAATGATGCACTCTATGTATATTTGCAGTTAAAAATGTTATGGGCTCTAAAGAAAACTTGTCACCCACGTTGAAGGGATGCTCAGCTGCACACAAAAATATGTATACATTTCCAAAACAACCAAGATCAAAAATATATATTCAAGATAAAGCTTCAATAACTGATAGCATCGTTTATTTCTGTTATTTCTGGATTTTTGAAACAGTGTAGGATGTCACCAGAGTCGTGAGCACCATATTCAGTAGCCAGAATTTTAGTGTATTTTTATTGACAATTTTTCATCATATACAGAAGTTAATCAGAGATAAATATTATTTTTTTTAAATTCTTTATTTTTTGTTGTGCATGAGATAACAAGCATGCTTGTAATGCCACGATGGCAGTTACAGGCTATTTGAATACAAACATAGTTAAACAATTATGTGGCGTTTAAAGAAAAGGCACATTTTTATATAGTTTGTAATGCAAGCTGAATATAGGCTAAATAAGTATGTCCAATGTGGTGGGTCTCGTTAAGGACCGCAAGCTTAAGACATTATACATATATTGCTTCTTGAATGTGTAAGAGTTGGCTTTCAAGCACGTATGGGTACTTTCAGCTTAGGAGGTCAGGTTTGCTTAATTATACAGGAATAAACAATGAGAACATATTGAACAAAAACTTAGTGTGAGTGTGCAGTCTAGCTATACTCTTCCTTAGGCTCAGATTAATGGACCTGTCACATTTTATGTTAGCTGTTCACCAAATGTTGCTGCTGTATTATGGAAGATTGACAGGGTGAAACTGGGGATTGAGCACAAGTTGCGTGAAATGGATTAGATGTAGGGCCCTGTGCACATATGTACAGGCTTGTACATATATGCTGAGAGAATGAGGCCACTAAGCTATGCAAAGATTGGGTGTGCATTCCGGACACATATAATGCAAATTAAAGTTAAAGCTGGGTTCATGTTAAGATCGAAACAGTAATAATAAAGTGAAAAGTTAATGATTAGCTTGGATGTATTCTCTGGCCAAGTAAAAACAGTTCTCTCAACCTATGCCCGTGATGGTCAGGCTGGGTGCAGGATTGTGCAATAGGGTCTTTTAATCTCCCATGTCGGCGTGCTATGCCGCCTCGTAGCAGCCCCGGGTGTTGTCAGGACTCACTTTCTCACCTCCATGAGCCACCTTCGCTGATCTCGTGGAGGAGGTTTCGGAGTCTCTGGCGATGGTGTCGCAGCCTGGAGCGTGGACTGCGGGTGGTTCTGCGGACCTTCTGGGTCTTTCGCTCAGGTGTGAGGCATCGAGCCGTAGCTCTTTCCGGGGTTTGCGCCATGGGTGCTGGCATTGTAGGTGGCTTTCGCTGATTCTCCCATTCGCTCCAATGCCGCTGGCACATTGTGTTAAATCTTTGCTGGAAGTCTGCTTCCCAGTTGCTGAGTTTCAGGCAGGTTTGTGTAGTGTTGTCGTCGGCCATTTTGGGGGACCGCGTGTAGGCTGCTTTCACTGGTGTCGCCCAGGAGTGTTCTAGAGGTAAGTACTCTCGTAGTGGATGCCGGGATAACCCCCGCCGGCCCAGAGGGGGAGGCGGGGGGTGTACGAGGCTCAGACTATTCACAAAAGTAAAAGCCTGTGTCACCCTGGGCGTGGAGATCGTCCGCTTCTCCCGCCAGGGCAGCACCAGGCCGCCTTAGGTTTTAGGCGCAGCTGCCGGTTGGTAGAGATGGTGGGTTTATAGTACCCTGTTTGGTCGCTCCGGTGATGCGGGAGAAGGTTTGTCATGTGCAGGTTGCCTGTGTTGGGGTATTTTCCCCCTTTTAAAGCACTTTTAAGGTGTTTTGTCAGGAGCTCGATCTTTCTGCGACCAAACCCTGACCCCCAGAGATAAATATTTTAATAAAAGTTAAATAATTTACATAATGTATTTAAGGTTTTTCAAGTTTAAATGTTTTAGTTATCTTTAGTTTTTGCCAAGACTCACAAGCCTAATATGATTCATCATATGACACTGGGGTATTCTATCTCGTCATAGTAAAATATACTAATCTGCATTAAATCAAGGAAATACTGTACTAGACCACGAGCAAGGAATAAATGTTGCTCAACACTATACAATTTCCTCTTACCTCATGTGTAGCTGTCATCCACGCAAAATTCTTTGAGATCCTATATGTCATTGGTAGTCATCTTTGTAGTTTTTACACCTATAGTGAGGACATTGCGGCAAAGTCCAAGGAAATGAGGAAAATATTATGGGCTAACATTTTAGGTGAACATTGTATAAGGAGAAAAAGAGAGGAACGTATGTGTAATTGCTCTCAGTCAGACTGCCTGGATGGTATGGAGGTTGTAAATTGCAACATATGAAGTACTCCCTCAATAACATATAAATTGGGTGAGGGTTAGAAACTTACTGCAAGTATTTGTTTATTTTTTCACTCCACTCCTGATGGCTTCAGATATGAACAAAGCCATCACTTTTTATTAAAGAGACACTCAAAGTAACAAAACTACTTTAGCTTAAAGAAGTGGTTCTGATGTATAAATCATGTCACACAGCCTCTTAACACACTGCCTTTCTGAAAAAGAGTTTAAACCTTTTATGCACAGTCTGTTTAAATTCTCTTTAAGTTCCTACCTCATGTACCGTTATTTGCTTGCTAGAGCCCACAGCAGCCTCCCGTTTGTGATTAAAGTGTATTTATCATCACAGAAGATATGAACTTCTAAAATAAACACACTGTGCTGTAGAAGTTCTGCTTTCTTCATGGAGACTGTGTGAGTAACAGCCAGGGAGATGTGGCTTAAGTTTGCACAAACAATATGATTACTTAGCAGAACTGAGCAGTGAAACTGATATGATATATGAATGTAAACTGCTTAATTAAGCTAAAGTTATTTTAGTGCTTAGAGTTCCTTTTGACCTGCTCCTTTTAAACAACATTAACGATCATTAGAGAGGCAGTTGTAACTGATTTTCCACTTGTCAATAGGTAGCAGGTGAGCAGAAATTTTGAGCAGCTGTTGTAAGATTTATTGTGACAGAGCTCAAGGTGCAGAAATCACAGAAGGGACACAATAAGGGAAATTACAGTGCTAGTAACATAATGTCAAAATAAACAGCTTCACAAGTAGTTAAACAAGTGACAGTCAAAAAAGCCAAAATAAAATGGTGGATATGGTCTCTAGGCATATGGACTGAAGATAAGCCTATGCCTAAATTCCACACTACCAAGTTAACTTGCAACATACACAGAAACTCTTGGGTTCTGAAGGTCCTTACAGCTAAATACACCAAAAAGTGGAGTGCATAATTGGACCATGGGCCCCACTTTAGCAAAATCTTGGATGGCCAAGATGAGTGACCAAAACTGACATTTATATATTTTTATATATATATTTGCTTCATTACAATCATCATTTCTAATTGCTCCATTAGCTTTATGTGTGATAATTGTAGACAATACTAATATAATGTACCTATAATCTTAATTTTAGTAATGACATGAGGCAAATATTTGCATAACTCTCTTTACTGAAACTTCCAGCAGCACCGATCAAAAGAGAACAACCAATCAAAAAGCACTTCAATGTCATACAAAAGGACCTGTCACTCACATCACTTCCTCTTTCTTTGTAGCGAACTAATAAAGGTTAAGTTCAAATGTCCAAATATCCAAACATCAAACAATTGTAATCAAACATAACAACGATCATTGACCCAAACTGTAGCGGTGGAAACGTCCATAACAACCGTAAATTGCAGAATAGATGTAGAAAGCACCGATCACACTGAAAGGAAACACAAAGAAGTGAAAGGTATCTGAAGTGACATCCTGTCTATCATACCATAACTGTCTATCTACTGCATACGTTAGATGTAAATTAAATATATAACAGCCATGCTTATCTGATAGAAAACAACTATGACAGCCTATCTAGCTATTAGAAGATGATAATACCATGCAATATAAATAAGAACACTATATATAACCTTAGAAGTATTCAGTATTCAGAAGAAAAATCAGATTTCGTCTGACGTGTCATACAAAAGGAAATGCCGTCTTTGTTGAAGGCTCGAACATCCGAAACACGTCTGAAGGAGATGAGGCACAACAGCATCGTAAGTTTCGTGGAAAGCTATCACAGAGATTAACCCGATTATCTGAACAGTCATGAAGCTGGGCCCATTCACGGATGTCACTTGAGTCCAACTGCGTGCCCTGAGAGAGGGCCAGATCCAGAAGGAATAGTACCTTTTCCAATGGGTCTAATAGATCCAACACCTTGTCTTGTGCAGACTTCAGCCCCTTCTCAATGCCCTTCCTAGGGTTCCTGCCAACGCGGGACATGAAAACCATTACCGTGGTGTCAAACTTTAGAGTATTGGCCACCTTGTCTGGGAGGAGGGGGCATGGGCATTCTGCTTGTAGGCGTGCCCGCACTTCCTTGTCTAGTGGCTTGCGGAGCCAGTAGTGGATTAATTGTGCCAGATGATCCAGAAGTGCCCATTCAGACAAGCTTGGGTGCCATATAGTGAATGGATCGAACATGGGTACCATTTTGTACATAAAAAAACCCTTCTTGAGTGATATTGGGTGGAGGTGTGCAGGTACCTTTTTCTTGGTACTCGTCGCCTAGCACGGGTTCAATCACATACTTTGAGTCAGTATGGGTTAGGTCTTGCCAGTCCTCCTCATCAGAGGCAGATCCTTCGGCCACCACGTCAAGATTCTGAGGTGGACCAAGATCGTCATTGGATTGGATGAGGAACCACTCTATCAAAACGCTTAGGCTTTTTCGATGGAAATTTGCTTGTAGACTTGCTCCCCGTTGGAGACCTGGAACCCTTCCATTGACATTTGGGCCCTGTCTGATATCAGAGTGCGGTTGCTGAGGTTGGGGCAAGACCTGTAGCCTTCTCAACTGAGGCCTCGACAGCAGCGTTAATCATGGCCTGAATGTCCTGCGTTGGTGGAGGTATGTCACTCATGGAGGTCTGGGGGAGCAGGATAAACTGAGATGTACGCAAAGTGCCAGGCTACTAGTATAACTAGGGCTCACCCAGGGGTCAGTTGCTCAGTGTAGCCGTCTACAATAATAGTGCCATGAAGAGGTGTGATATTGAGGGGTTAACCTCGTAAATGTTGCCAAGGTGACGTATCTTCGAGGGGCTCACCCTAGTTGTACGTCAAAGCTGTACCTCCGTGGTCAACAATAAAACAGGTGTACACAGCATATGGGATAGTTCTGCATGGTGTTATGTTGTATCACCAGACAATCATAAAAGGATGTGGGATATCCCTGTAGGGAATATGCAAAACACCTGTGAGGATATCTATGGGCTCACCCAGGGCCGGTCCAAAATTTGCCCCCCCCATCACAATGCCCCACTCATATGATCTGCCATATAAGCCAATGCCAGTGCTGCACACATTGTCTTTTCTCTGAAAAAGCAATGTGTTTACATTAAAAAGCCTGCAGGGACAGGCTATAGACACCAGAACCCCTACATCAAGCTGTAGATAGTTCTGGTGACCATAGTGGCCCTATAAAATGAGGTAAATTAGGGATTAGTGCCACTAATAATATACTTGATTGCCTACTTACCACCAGATGAGGACAAGAGAATGATGATGGACTCAGGCTGCAGCCTGGCTCCACTGGTCTGGTGTTAAAACAGGCTCTCTGGAGCCAGTGCTCACAAAAACAACAAACCGGAAGCAGCTCCATTTTTTGGGGGCCCCTTACACAGATCACGGTCTGGGCCCCCAGGGCCTGACCGTGAGTATGCCTACAAAGCCTGCACATAAGCCTGATGCCTACAAAGCCCACTCATGAGTTTGCTCACAGGGAGTGGAGTGTATGTGTGTGTGTGTGTGTGTAGGGGATGTGTTATGTGTTAGTGTATAGGATGTAATGTGTGTGTGTTTGGAATGTAACGTATGTAACGTATAGTGATACCAGTTTGTGTAAGGGATTATGTGTTTCTGTGTTTGTGTGTGTGTAATGCAGTGTGTGTGTCTGTAAGGGGTGAATTGAGTGTGTGTAAGAGATGTATTAAGAGAAGTAGTGTGTGTGTGTGCGTGTGTGTGTAAGGAATGCAATTTGTGCTTTTGTGTGTGTGTGTGTATGTCCCTCAGAGGTCTCTCCTCTCCCTCCCATCCAGTGTCCCTTAGTGGTCTCTCCTCCCTCCCAGTGTCCCTTAGTGGTCTCTCCTCCTCTCCCTCCCCTCACTCCCCCCAGTGTCCCTTTGTGGTCTCTCCTCCTCTCCCTCCCCCCAGTGTCCCTTAGTGACATCTCCCACCCCTTCCCTGTTGTGCCTCCTATCTCTGTGTAGCATGGCTGTGCAGCCCAGACCATGGTACAGGAGCTTCTGTTTCCTATACCCGGCCAGACTGACAGGCAGTGCTCAGTGAGAGAGCACTTTCTTTTATTTCGGCAGGGTACGGGAAGTTCTTGTACCGCGGCCTGCGTCACCCGGCTGCGCACTTCCCTCCTGCTGGGTCACTGGAAACTTGCACCCCCCAGGCCATGCGCTCTAGGCGACTGCCTAAGTTGCCTATAGGATGCGCCAGCCCTGGGCTCACGCAAGGTGCTGTGCAATGAGAACCAGAGGACACCCACATATGGCAACTCATGCACTCACATTGGCACAGTGTATATAGCTGTTAAGCTCAATATATTCCCACATTGCAATTACACCTCAGTGTATGTCGGTCTGTTGTCAGCAAACAGCATGCATCAGCCCAGCATGTATTTGTAATCACTTGTAGTAAATA